GAAAGTAAACACAGCTGCGAGGAGACTTCGTATTTCAGTATTCTTTCTTATTGTCTTGTAAGGTTTCAAATTTGCAGAGCAACAAACTTTTTTAAAAGATTTTGTTATCTTTATTTTTTTTTTTAATTTCAGACGAGCATAGCTATTACGAAGGCATTCCTTCACTTGTCACCTACAAACCTTCAATATCATAAATACGGAAATGAAAGTGTTTCCCAGATTGAAAACGCACTTTGGCGTAATATGCAAAACATCTTATACGAAGTTCTATCTGTGCATCCCACATCCACATCCAATTATGATATGAATAACCATTTTAAAGTTCTCAGCGCCATCTTGAAAGGTAACCGAGCCTTTGGATCAAAGTGAGAAACTTGCTCAGCTTTCTGTGATAGATATCAGTCTTTTGGTCCCACCCAAGAGAGACATGTTTCTATCATTGCAACCTCTGTCTCGCTTTGATGCAAAACCTTGGTTACATCTCAAGATTGCTCAGGGAACTGTAGAATGGAGCATTAATACTCACTGCCCTGCTTCATACAGAAGGACTCCAGAATTCCACCATCCTCACTGATTACGGCAACGACAGCTACGTGAAGACACTGGATCGTTTTATAAATACTGCATTACAGCAATCGAATCCAAGCAAATGGGTGAGATGTTGGCACGCCGTTGAAGATGGATGGGACACTCGACTCACATTTCATCCTCAGTGTGACGGAAAGAAAGCCACAGTGACGATAGTCCGTGTTGGTCAGTACGTGTTTGGTGGATTCACCGATAAATCCTGGTTTAGTGGTAAGACTACTTGCTTGAACTGCTTGCGTGACCGTGACTGTGATTGTGACTGCACGCCTGAGGAACTGACTGACTAATTGATTGACACCTTGTGAATGATGATCGAGCCTCAATTACGTGCACATGTTCTATGATGCACTTCCTTAAACGTTATCTCCCCCGCAGCTGTGCTAGTCATATAGAGGAMACTAGAGGGGACTACTTCAAATATTGGTTATCTAAAATCTAGTCTCTATTTTTCAGGCGTCGCGAAATATACCGAGTCCTCGAAGTCCTTTCTATTTTCCCTGTACAACACCAAAGGCTATCAACCCATTCAGCTGAACCTAACAAAACTRAACCATCAAAAGTATGCTATTTACGGCAATAAAGTTTATGGTCCAGCATTTGGATGGAGTTACCAAGATCTGCGTATTACTAATCTTGCCATTAATAACGCCAATTCGCTTACAATAGTAAGGAGCTACGAGCCCCCGCCTGGCTGTAGAATCGGTTATAGTTGTTCTTATTTTGCTGGTCAAAGCAGGTTCACGCCAAACGATGTGGAAGTGTTTTATTACAACAATGAAACTCGTAAGTTAAAATACGCATTTTTAACCCCTTTTCCTCCCTCCCCCCGGTTAAAATCATTCTGGTTTCTATGTGACGTCACATAGAAATCATCACTGAAATCGTGATTCTCTGACCTTTTCAGTGTATTGTATTTTTATTAATTCAGTCAATTGCAAAAAGTTTGTAGACTGAGATGGCACCTTTACACATGTATAATGAGATTCAAAAAAATTCCAATGTTTGACGCAGAAGTATATATAAATAGATTTTAAAGGCAATCTAAACCCAAGTAAAGCACATGTATACAATTTTTTTATTTCATATATACTTCTGAAACTGAAACTGCAAAACATACAAAAAGCATTTAGAAAAATGCGTTGAAATATGCATACTATACTAATAAGGAGTGGTTTATCAGATATGAAGGTCCATGCATGTGACCAAATAGGCTCATTTTATTGGCTTAGTAGCTCATTAATTATGTATGAGTTTTTGAAAGGATGAYMGTTTGCATTTCTGCTCATGGGAGCCCGGATCCTATTGTCTTGGTAGTACTTTGTCAAAAATCCTCATAGCGATACTCAATGTGACGTAAGCCTTTGTTATTCATGTGCCAACCAGAAGACGATTGGCTGTTAGAACAAAGTGACTTGTGAAAAGCCATTCTGATCATGATTTGCACATCAACATAAGAATGAGTTTGTTGATAAACATTGAGTATTGCTATACTGACAAGGCCTTGGAATATCTACCTCTGAGCCACATGAGATATTTTATGAATCTCATTATATGTGTGTGTGTGTAAGTGCATATCTCACAAGTCGACAACCTTTTTGACATTGATCGTATATGCAACTTTAATCTTATAAATCACTTGAATGCATGCAGTTTATTGCAGAATATTATATAGATGATTTCTAACGCGCGCTCTGATTGGCCAAAAAAGTGTGGTTTAGTGAGAGTATAAACCACGATTGTGCGCGAGCGATTTTTGAAAAAGGCAACAAAATGGATTTTTGCTTAAGTTTTGCTCAAAATCTATTTAATAAAACAATAGTTAAACAATAGTTAAACAATATCTGTTACTTGTTCTCAATCATGATCCATTTTGTTACATTTTTCAGGAGGATTGGAGAATTCTGCAATCCTTGTCAATTATGGAAATGATTCGTATATCAAGACTTTGATAGGCTTCTTAGACAAAAMATTACAGCTTTCAAGCGGATGGGTGAGATGTTGGCACGCCGCTCAAGATGGATGGGACACTCGCCTCACATTCCATCCTCAGTGTGACGGAAAGAAAGCCAGCGTGACRATAGTTCGTGTTGGTCAGTACCTGTTTGGTGGATTTACAGATAAATCTTGGCATAGTGGTARGAATGATTGCTTGCTTGCGTTATCGTGACTGGCTAAGGGACTGACTGACTCAATGTTTGACTGACTCACTGAATTTATTCCTAAAGGGTTTTTCTGACGAATTGCCTTCTTCTAAGCACTATAACTTTCTTTAATTTCAATATGGTGTGACTCACTGACTGTATAATTGATTGCTGGATTGCTGGATTGATTGATTGATTACTTGATTGCTTGATTGCTTGATTACTTGATTGCTTGATTGCTTGATTGCTTGATTGCTGGATTGCTGGATTGATTGATTGATTACTTGATTGCTTGATTGCTTGATTACTTGATTGCTTGATTGCTTGATTGCTGGATTGCTGGATTCCTAGATTGCTTGATTGCGCTTGATTACTGGATTGCTTGATTACTTGATTGCTGGATTGCTGGATATATTAATTTTATTTTATCAAATAGCCGCTGCATATACCAAGTCATCAAGATCATTTCTCTTTTCCCTATACAACATCAACGGATATCAACCCATCCGAATGAACCTGACAAGAGCAAACCACGAGAATTACGCTACTTATGGCAATGCAGCTTTTGGACCAACATTTGGTTACAGTCTGTATGATCTGTATATTTCTAATCTGGCAAAGGACAATTCAAATTCGCGTACGGTAGTAAATAGCTATSAACCCCCACCTGGTTGTAGAATTGGTTCATATTGTTCTTATTTTGCTGGTCAAATCAAGTTCACGCCGAGCGACATCGAGGTTTTTTACTACGATGAAAATGACACAAATTAATTTGACGCAGTTTTTCTGGCGACTTTATAGCGTCATGTGTTTTGTCTACACAGTGGATGATCTGAGGGAGKGAAGGGCCAAAGGGTTTCCTCTCTTGATTAAAAGAATTYGATGGTAAATGAACATCATTCTAAGTTCATATTCAGAGTCAATATTTAAAGTCATTTTTTCTTTATTTACTGTAGTATCGCGCAAACGCGCATAGAGTGCAAGTCACATAAGCATGAAACAATTCTTAACTATGTAGTGCTAAATAAGATTTAGTTATCAACTAGGTGTTGGGTGCTAATCGTCCTTCATGGCAGCATGGGTGCTGAATTGCGAGAGACGCAGCTCGACGCGCTCTCAAGTCGAAGTGCTATATTACAGACACATTTTACAGACACTTACACATAGGCGTGCTGCCGGCTATACTAGGCGCTTCCTTTACATAGCAACGAACGACTGAACGCGGAGCACAGCAGATAGAAATGGTTCGTTTTTACTGAGGGAGGAAAACCCGGAAAGACCCGGAAAAACCCTCAACGCAAGGGAGAGAACGAAAGAAACTCAAATCACATATGGCGCCCCGACCGAGATTCGAACAGGATCCACAGAGGTGACAGGCCAGCGCTCTCACCGCTCGGCCACCCATGCGTCCCAAAATTAACTAAGAATTGAGAACAATGCTACAAAGGAATTTAAATAATTGGCATTGTGTTTATGCTTTGTTGAATTCTTAGTTAGTTGATAACTAAATCTTATTTACCAATACATATTAAGAATTGTTTCATGCTTATGTGACGTGCACTCTAAATGCGGTAAAACCCCATCCACATTTAACGGAAAACCTAAATCCATGAACCTTTGCGTTTATTTTGCTTAATAAAAAGAGTTTCAGTTTCTGTTGAAATTTACTCTCTAATTGGTTTAAATCAAAAATAACCATTGTTCACATGTGCGAAAATCGCGCAAAGGTTCTTGGATCCACGTGTGCCTTCAAATGGCATAATCATCATTGAAACATTTGATACGGTAAAGTTTCCATTTGATTTATTCTTCGAATTATTTAGTTCTTTTACATATGAAAAGTTTAAGTTATTCATTCAAAATGACGCCCTTTTAAACAAAAGYACATATGAACATGAAGTATTTTATACTGACGATTTTCAGCAGCAATTGCAATTACTAAAAAGCGAGTGTTTGTATTCACGCATTTTAAAATTGAAAATTCCTAAATTTTTTAAATARAGAAAACTATAGTTTTTCAGTCCATCTTTCAGTAGCTTTCAGACTTTAGTTCTTTGTGTCTTTATGACGTTTTCTAATATTTTTTTTAGTTTTGGGTTCCCTGTACYATTTAAATGCTTATCTATGTCAGTTATATTCTATTCTTGGGCTCCCTGTACATTAATAGTATTTCCTGATCAGTTTCGTTTACATCCGCGTACAGATGAAAAATAATAAAAATGCCGGCTAAATTAATGTTATCTGTAATAACTGTAAATACAATTTAGTGGTTCATTAGTTGTGAATACAGGTAACAGACGAGACGTGGCTAATAACTAACTAGCTTTAGACGAGGCTTTGAATCAATTTGTTAAATGTTTTTATCATATAATTATTTGTGAAATACGAAAAGTTGTTATTTTCACTTATTTGAGGTTTCTCTATATATTAGAAGTAAAAATAAAAGAATTTTACGACATATTTTGCTTTCATATATAATTATATGATAAATAGAATATTACATGGTCGCTTGGACATACAAATTTGATCTTCTCGTGTTGAAAATCTGAAGATAAAAACCGTATMTCCGCGCGATCATGTAATATCCTCTATTTKTTAAATTGAAAATTGAAAACGCAAGCAATAGGACGTCGATTGAGGGTATGATTTCATATGCAAAATGTAGGTAACCAAGCCTTTGCATCAAAGCGAGACAGGAGTTGAGCCTGAAGTGATAGATACCGTTCATTCACGTAACTCTATGGGCAATTATTAACACGGACCTATGTTGCATGCTCAACTACTGTTCTCGCTTTCAAGATGACGCTGTCAATTGTGAAATAAAAAAAACTGGAATATTCCTTTGTTGACGTCACTRCTATTGCATTTTCAATTAATTTCAAATGCTTATAACTCATGGTGATCAGAAAATGCAATTCAAAATCACATTCGCAAAAGCGAAGAAAATTAGAATAACTTCTAGAATGTGTTAAAGGGACATGGTCCACCAGCATCCCTTTCGATTTTTGCTCATGTTTGAAAAAAAATACTTCGTAATATAACAAAAACTTATACTTGATTATCGCTTTATACTATACGAAAAGAGATACTGGAAGATTCGACTTTTAAAACGATGGWTAGRAAAGGATTRMGAATGGATATCTGAAGTCACTTCATTTTCCMTATATGAAAAATCTAATMTAAAACACGATCGCGTTGAATGTTGGTGGACCATGTGCCTTCAAGTGCACGCAATTGAAGTTCATCAGAATTCGCATTCAAATTAGTTAAAATTATTAAGTTAGAAAACCTAAGCTATGATAAATACAATATCCATTACAATTTTAAAAATTGATTTTCAACTTATAAAAGATTTATAAATAATTTACATCATTCCATGATTTAAAAGAGCCATGACAAACTGTAGCACACTAGAACCAGTAATTGTAACAATC